CAATAATTCTCAGAACAGGTCTGTGAAATGGTTCTCATCATGTCGCCAATGCTCGCTGAAAAGACCAACAGCAACCACCACCTCTGCTAACTCCAAGTGATTCATTTGCAACCACAATACTGCGGTTTTTAGCCCGTTGAGATGTTTATGTGTTCTTGCTCCCTACAACTCCGGATGTTTGTCCGCAAATCTTAAGCATAATAACATGCATTGACAACGAATAGAACTGTACTGTGATATGATGTGTCATAAAGCAGCTACTCTCATCTGTTGTTGAACAGCTAGCTAAACTAGTTTCACAAGGATGTTGATGTAGAGGATAATGATATATAGGCCCAATAGTTCCAGGATCCATGCCAGTTCAGCTGCCAGCCACTTCAAGATGCTTTCCACTTTCCAACACTTGATCTACTCCAAAACGCTGCCAATAACTCCCTGTGTCAGCCGAGTTCTGTTCGATCCAAACTCGCCAGTGGGGCAAGCGCCCAAGGCACTGGAGAAGGTCACGGCATTCGGCGCCAAGCTGCGACGCTGCATCTCGTCCAGCCTCGGAAGGCGACGGAAAGAAAAGGAAACAATAATGACTAACTACAGCACTCCCTTTAGTGTTTAATTATCGTGCATCTCTAGCACGATCACGTCCTCAGTGACCACTTTCAAAACTAAATGAAAGATAGACACCCGCCAGGACACATCCTCGTGCTCCTCTTCACAACTCATGTTAAATTAAGGACAAATCCCACTAGGAAACACTCGCTGAGCCACCGGTGACCAAACAAGGTACGAGCACCGCAAAAGCCGCTCATAAGTGCAAAGACAGCCCCAAATGAGGACCTGTCGGGACCTGTCAGGACCTGGAGACATATCTTGCAGTTATGCTTCGCTCTTTTGGCAGATCTTGCGGTCATTGGCAACCACAGAACCTATGCCCCAAAAAATGGTGTGTAGAAGCTGGACAAGGCGCTTTGTTTGCTATACCACAACGAAAAGCTTGCAGATTGACAGTCCTGAGGTGTTAATTATTTATTCTGAGAGTCACGAAGTGGCAAAACTTTGACACAACAATAAGAACAAAACACATACCAGAAACACCACGCAGCCTAAAACACCTCTCCAAGGTGCCAGAAAATACAACGTTCAGCACTGGAAGCCTCCGGCGCGGCACCGTCGCTTCGTCGGCGAGGTTGCGCCGGGAAACGAACACCGAGTGTTTTCTTCCGGGAGATGAAACTTGACAAGTCTCCATCTCCCAAACACTCCATGGAACTGACATATGGGAATGGGTCAAAGCCCAGATCCCCAAACCAGGATATATTTGACCTCCTCAGTAGTCCATTCTGTTCATCTTCCGTGGTCAGCCAAGACAACCCGGTTTTGACCCACACCCATATTTCCCTATATACATTGGGGTGGTTTTGGGAGTCAATGTAGTCATATACTCCATACATGGAGTGTCTCCATCTTATGAGGCTGTGGACTCCGTGTGTTCACGAGATCTTCTGCTGGTGATCATCTCAGGAGTCATCTGGACCAGTACGTATCGAATTGATTGAAGCGCAATCAAAGAGCCCTACACTTTGTCCAGAACAATAACACCCTAAACACGACTTCGACAAACAACATATCTAGTTTAAAAAGTATATTGACTGGAAGAAAGAGTTTCATAGCCCAACGGATCATCTCTTCGGCACCTTAGCACAGGCACTGATGATGACATTGATCAGCTGGGTGTCAGGTTCCAGTTGGGCCTCTCTAGCACTTGCTAGCCAGGCTTCGGACTCCTCAGCTTTTGAACATCGAGAATCTCGTCCAAAGAACCCCGCCCGAAGAAGAGATCCATCTTACAAGGCTTGATTTGGACGACGACAACAAGAAAACCACAACCTTTTGTGGGTGTGGTACGGTGCGACTGGATCTCTTTCATCATGCGCATCTCGCGGATTGAAACTGTTTGGTTAGGACTGTATATCCGTATATGACTTCTGCTGCCTGTGTCTGAAGTGTCACAGTCCTCCATTAGCCAGCGGTCCCTACATGCAATTCTTACCGTTACCTAAAGTACCACATAAATAAGCTTCTTTAGTGGCTTCATCCTTTACACCGTCCTCAAACCAGGGTGACTGATCGTGATCGTGCCATCTAGTCAAGTCACCTACTCCAAAAAACCGAGCAAACTAACATAGCAACTCGCTCAGTATCGCGTTTATCAATCGTCCAAACGTTCTCTTTGCTGTGCGTGTGACGGTGTGAGATGTACAGTAATTGGAACATCAATCTATGTCAGCTGGGGAATCAATCTATGTCAGCTTTTTATCACTGATTTCCTTCAAAATCCACCACCCTCAAACACCTCAGGACATGCTCTTCGACTCCCGGCACTTCAACACCACCGGCGTGCGCGGACTCCGCGCTCCTGCCAGGCCCTGCTCCTCGTGGCTCGAACCATCGAGGTGATCCCTTCCAAAGTGACCAGGTGCTGTGCCTGAACAGCCCAGAACGGAGATGAACAGAACGGAGTGGGCCGGTCCCCACCGAAATCGGGCGCGGTTGGAAGGAGTGCTGCGCTTGTTGGGAGGTCAGGTTGCGGAAGTCAGAACACAACATGTGCAAGTCAGGGAGTCCATCTGAAATCGACATATCCTGAAATATCTGTGGACAGTGTGCCAATTCGGGGACCTTCAATGTAGCACGGTTCTGTGTTTGCTGAACACTTCTTTGGGAATTCGCTGAAAGGAGACAACCAAGGCTTTTGCATCCTTCAAGAAGGGCCAAAGGCAACTGGGACTATTAAGTGTGACATTGTTGGAAGAGAAGTTATCAATATAAATCTAGGCAAAACAACCAAATTAATTAATGTTCACATCAGTTGGTTGGCTGGCTCAATGCTTCAGTTGGATGGATTGAAGGCTTGATTGTCTTGATTGGGTTCGATGGTTGGATAATGGTTGGACAGTTGGATCATGTTGGATCTTTGCTTGCCTCAAGCACCCCCAATCAACTTGGAGGGTTTTGCCTCACTTGGACACTTCCACCCCCTTGGCATCCCGGTCACCCGGTCGGATCCGAAGGCGTGGACCGTCGGCGGTGGACCCGTTCGGTTCGGAGCCATCGGTTCGGGGTTCGCATACACCGGGCAGACCACGGAGGTGGCTGACCACGGAGGTGGATGGCACCGAGTTCGGATGACCATGATGGCACCAACTATTTCCAGCGCTGATGGCCTTCCACTTAGGATTGTTTGAGGGAGTGTGTAAAAGTGTATGAACCACTTGTGGTTGGGGGGTCATTATCAAACCCCACATCTAGCGAAACCCCAACCTTCCAAACTCCCTAATTTTGATGCAACATCATGCAAAACACACATCACAACCAAGGATGGAATGGCCAAAGAAGAGCAACTTTGAAAGCAGTCCCTTTGACCATGATCTTCCATCTTCTTATGACCTATGAAGCATACTGACCTCTTGGACACACGGTTCATTTTCAGGCTTTACTTCCCCTCCTTGATCGTCTTGAAGAGCTCCTCTGCCTTCAACACATTTCCCTGTTTGGCACAGGCATCCAACGCCTGATGGGAAAAACACAAAGCGTTGCGGCATCACGATAGCGCCCTACGAGCGAGAAGAAGTTGGACTTGGGTGGCCAATAAGAAAAGAGAAGGTTGCATAAGGCGCCAAACTGGTGTTCAAGGCTGCAGGGATTGTCCTCCTGTTTAGATCTGTTTAGACATTGTGCTAATGGTGGCAACAGATTCACTTGAACTTGCACTGCTTCAATTTCACCCCACCCAGCCGCCCGGCCGCCCAGCCACACCGAGTTGTACATGGTGGAGTTGGGCTGCAGCTGCGCTGCACGGGCACGTGAGAGGGCATCAATGGCTGGCTGCACTTGCGAGGCTTTCGCACAAGCATCCTCGGTGGATGCGAAAGCCGTGGCTTTCTTTTTGGATGGTCCAGAGCTGCCGTGTCACATTGGATCTTGGACCGTGTTCCATTGTAGAAGCTTTTGCTCAAGCAAAACCATTTGGAACACGTTTGACATTACTTGACCTCATTTGAACCATAAGTCTCAGATTTTTTGAGGAGTGTTTCACCGTGTTTCACGTTGTGTGTCTTGGAGATCTCCCTTTGTCTTCACCGTTGGAGTTCAAGGCTGCAGCGGCCACCAAACATCCATAGCCCACCAGGTCCGGTGGATGCGAGGCATGCGTGGCGCGGGACAACCAAAGCTCCACCTCTGGCACCTGCGAGGCGGGTCGGTGGGAGACATGCGAGGCGGGTGGTCTACGGAGTCTACGGTTTCTCGAAAACATGGTGCAGAACATGTCCAAAGGTTCATCAATCTTCAGCACGAGAGCAGTGGCATCTTCAAACAGCTACAAACTGCATCGTAAATCCACACTGTTCTTCTGTCTATGCTGGCCTTGAACTCAGGCGCACCGAACTCCCCAATATGCACGACGACCCCTTCCCCTGGATGATCCTGGGTGAGGTGATTGTCTCATAAATTCACAGGAGTTTTAACGTTCAAAACAGAATGCCCAAAGCGTTTCTTGGTGCGGGTCTTGGTCAGTTTTAACGCCATGAGGAAATCTGCTCTAGAACAGGTTTCCACTCTATGCTTGTCTGACGAACGTCGGGATGCTACATTTTCAGTGATTGCCACGGTCTTTAGCTGTGAACCACGGTTGCTATTTTGGGACTGATGTCAACGGGTAAACACACTAATTCCTTCACACTCCAAGGAACCTTGCCTGGCAATTTGACAAGAAAAGGAAGCACTGGCGTGTCGTTAAGCCACATCCATCTCTCCTAATTACTCTGGTGTCTCCTTTTTCAGCCTTATGTTCGTCCTGTCCGATCCCGAAATGCCCCTTCAACGAACTCTGACCCGCACCACGCCTGGCCCTGGCGTGCGAAGCCATGCGCCACGGTCTGGAAGTGCTCCAGATCTGGCTCCTTCATGCGCTCCAGCCAGGCCACCGCCTGCGACGGCCACGCCACACGCAACAGGTGCCGAGTTCGGCCGAGTTCGGACGTCGGAGCGAATTGGAGCGCCTGAAGTTGGACGGGAACACCGGCTATACACACGGGCTGCGCAGCCCACGGTGTACACGGGGCCATCCAGAGCAAACAGGTCCTATGTCATCAGGGCGGTGTTTTGCTGTTGAAAAAGCCATCCATGCTCTCTAGACTCTAGACATGTGGGCAAGGATACGAGATCCTTCGTGCAATATATCTTCAACAGGATCATGGAGGTCATCAAGGCAGGCCGGCCGCAGGCATGTGTGTGTGCTCAGCTCAAGGCAAACAGTTGTTTCATGGCCCAGTGAGTCTGAGTCCAGTTTGACCATTCAACAAACCAGTTGGGCCACGTTCTGAGAGTTGCCAATGGTCATGTTTCGCTGGGGATGATTCCTGTGAAACGAACGGACCCTTGCTGAACTGCTGAACAAAAGCAGCGAAGAACGGTGGGAGATCTCCGCCTCCTGGGGCTTGTCAGCCTTGGCGAAGGCCTGCAGACAAGCAAGAGAGAGAGAGAAAAAAATAAATAAATAATCCATTCTCATCACTGAAGTGGTAGGTGACTAGTGCAAACGATCGGTAGAGGACAAGATTCCAAGAACCCTTGTACTTTTCATTTGTTTCGACAGAACCGTTTTCTACTAGGGGTTTGAGGCAACAACAAATGGGTAATACGTGGCAAACCCAATTTAAAGTGTTTATGGAAAAAACCTTGGCATAAACATGAACCATGTTCTCATGACACTGCATCCTGAGTTTGTCTCCTATGAACTTCATCCGTATTACCTGATAAACTGTTAGACACTGCCCTTCCAGATCTTCCAGTAATCCAGCAGGTCATACCACGGGTCCACAGAACTTGGTCTGGAGGTGCAGAATTTGGCCAAGCACGCACACTTCAAGAAATATCTTGCAGGGTGTAACAATTTCATCAAACAACATCTCGGCTACTTTTTTTCTTCTAACAGTTCTTTCTCGACATGGGCATCCGAGGGGACTAGAACCAAACTCCCCAAATTCATTTGAACTTGGCATGGCAGATCCTGATTTACCCATGGGGTTGTCCTCTATCCATGTCGCATGACGTGACAAAAGGACGGGACGGGACAAAGGTGTATGTGGTTGTGATGAAAGGGAACCAAGTGGACAGGGACAAACAATGAAATCCCACCTCATTGTAAAGACCTGGGCCACCTAAAGCCTGGGTTTGAAGTAAATGTAGTTGTGCACGCTCAGGCCGGGACCAATGTGCGCGCAAACGAAAGAAAGGATGAGATGAAAAGACATGAAGACAGGAGGACATGAAAGAAAAGAGGAAAACAGATGTGTGTGAAGGGGGAAAAGGATGAGAGGGAAACCAAATGAAGGGGACAGAAGCCAAGGAAACCAAACCTCATTAGAAAACACCTCGGGAGACCTCGCCTCGTTTAAGTGTATACGCTGTGTGTGTGTGCACCTAAGTTTTCGACAGGTTCCAATGAACCTTGAACAAGCTTCGGCCGCTACGGCCACGTACGCCGTGCCAAAATGGCTGGCAGCTTTGACCGCTGTGGTTTCGTAAAGGCATAAGCCAGCTTAGAATTCAATACTTCGGCAGGTCTTGGCAAATAACTTTGGCCTAGGCCACCTACGCTCGCTGCAAGATGCTTTGTATCCGGGCAGGGGATACGTTCGACAAACCCCCGTTCGACGGGTCCACAGGGGCCACTCCTCGGGGTCACCCTGGGCTGGCATGAAGCCAGACACACTTGAGATTATGCGTACGGATGTGAATACCACTCCCCACACGGCAACCTAAGAAACAAAAATCCTGAGAGGAACATCGAAACCTGTGGGTCCTGGAGGTCCTGAAACGAAGATGAGGCCCAAAGCTCAAGTCAAAAACGATGATCGCGGATCGACCAAGATGACGACGTCCGCTCATGACTGCCGAGCTCAGTAGCGCTTTACTGGAGAGTGGAGTCGCAGCTTTGCCAACAGTTCAAATCGCAGGTACAGGAAACTGGCCAAGTTTCCCTTCCCACTCTTATCCACAGCTTCGTTGCGTGTGTTGGGATAAGAGTGTCGCACGCCCCTGCTTAAAATGCAAATAAACATTCTATCAGGAACCTTGTGACTCCAAAGGTTACACACACACACACACGCATAGTATGTACCCTGGGAGTCCAAGAGTCCAAGACCACAAAAAAGGCCATGGCCTGAAAGGATCTGAACGGTATTTCCCTTTTCACGTAAAGGAAAAAGTATAGTCTTTGGACTTCTAGATCGCCGGAGAGGTCGCGAAAGCTATGCTAGGTTCCCTCTGGCTTTTACTTCACTAGGAAAAGGTATTCACTTCTAGAGAGCATGTCAAGCCAACACAACAAACATCTATAATAGAACGATCGGATCAGGATCGATCCACCTTGACCATGGTGCCCAAGGTCTTTTGGTCCGGCACCACATTGGATGCCTGCCAGCGTTTCGTGGAAATCAACCGGTCGCGCCAAACATATTCACCTGTCTGGTCCGACACCTACCATGCCTTTCCCACTGCTGCATGCCTTTCCGGGAAGTTGGTGCTTGCCTACGCACCGGCTTGGACCAAGCTTAGCTTACTGCTTCGTGGACCAGACCTCCTCGGCCATCTTCCATCCCGATGCCTTGCCTTTTGCGTGCTCATCAAATTGAATGAATAGACAATGATTGGATGGCTCATAGGTCCATAGGTCCATAGGTGTCCATCGTGTTTGGTACTACTGTAACACCCAATGCCGGTGGACATCATCATAAAGTGTTCGCGTTACCTGCAGCAAACAACACGTTCCTGTGACTGCGATTCATGCCGTTTTAACACAACAAATATACTTGCTAGCTAAATGCTACTGAGTCAAAGTTGCTGTAGATGATGTGAATATCTTCACAAAAGACCGTGCTGGTAGGAGTCCCACAGTGCAGGAAACCGCACCCCGGTGTGCAATCTTCTTACATTTGAGGCATGCATTGAATAACATTTGGGAGAACGAGCAGCTGGCAGATTCGACAACCTCTTCAAATTTCAAATGGGTCATAAGACAAACCTAAACATATATAAACACTGAAATTCAACCAAAAAACGGTCCCGATCTCCATACGTCAAATTTCAACAACACTCCCCACAGGTCATCGCACACATCTGATAATTCTAGTGGTTTCAGAGGCTCGATGGCACTGGCACCCCAAATATGTGGTATATATATAAATATGTCTATTTTATATGATAATATGGCGGGTCCATATACCACCTAACATTGTAACTTGTGCCATCAATCACCCCCCGAAATTGAATTGGACATCCTCTTCATATGGGGGGTTGATTAATCAAGCGTCTACATTACACCTGATTCGCTGATCTCATCGGCCTCCACCAGCTCTGCTGCCTCGGTCGCTTGCCCCTGCCGTGCCAAGAGGTCCAGGACCGCCGCCAGGCTGATCTGATCCGCTTGGAGCCCCAACTGAGACGGATCGATCGGTCTCGTCCTTTCGGTGATCACTTCAACACCATGCTCAACGCGGTGAACCACATCATGCACGCATCTTCCCCATGGCACTCCTGCTAAGTCGTGGCCCCGAACAACTACAGCAAAAAAAGTTGCCCGATATTGAAGAACTAAGTCAAGCCTGTGTCTCACCTCCCAAAAGAATTGACACTATATGCCGGCCATTCACAACAGATTCTGGCATCAGTTTGTTGCCTTACCTTGATATTTTAAGCAAGTTCAGCCGTTCAAGTCCAAACAATTTCCTGTTGACGAGGTTCGTGGCATCATCATATCATCATCATATACTCCTTTGATTCCTTCGCCATTACAAGCAGAAAGGCATTGTTTTGCCATTGCCTCAAACCGACTGTAGAATAGACCTGCGTGTGGACATTGAAGTCTGACATGGTATTCCCAGCATTTACAGCAGCAGTTTGCCTACCCTATCTGAAGTCATCACCCCAAGGGCACACACGGTTGGAGTGCCACCGAAACCTTGGTAAGTGAAGAAGCCTTAGTGGTGCAGAAAGGGTGGAATGTTACATTCTGAGTCCAATAGTGAAGTGAGATATACATTTAAACAGTTCTATAACAGAACCGACTTTGGCTTGCTGGTGAGACGGGGCAGCCGCTAAAGTGAACAATACATGGTTGAGCTCCCAACCACTTCCCTTCCAGTGGATCAAGTCAGTCACTGGAAGCCTGATCCCCCTGCTGCAAGACCAAATCAAAACTTCCGTCTGAGTCCAAGGGTTACAACCACAAACACACAGATTCGACAGATGAGAAATTGTTAAAGCCGGACTGCATCGCCTCCCATGAAGGCCTGACTGAAAAATTGCTTGAATAGAACAGGTCTTGTGCAGTAGGATCCAACCGTCTCCAAAGTCTCCACAAGCGCCGAGTTGATCAGACTCGGTATCCCATGATTGTGGTAGCTTCGTAGAGGGCGGTCTCACAATCATGCAGCACTTCCCTGCTAAAGAGCCCGAGGACAACCTATGACTCCAAGGTGGACACACACACAAACAAACAAACAAACAAACAAACAAACAAACAAACAAACAAACA